TCCATCCAGATGAAGTATCATGTGGATCTTCTGTCTCTTGATCTCCCATTACCCCTGAAAGAAATACAGGCGGTGAGACTGCTCACAGCAGGAGGCAGGTAAATGTAAGTACCTACTCCAAGTGTCTGGAGAGCTATAGAGAGCCCTGTGTGGACACCAACATCCAGCCAGCTGTGTGACTGCAGATTCTATCATCTGACTCGACCAAGACCTGGATGAATTTGCTGAAACAAAAATTTCTAGTGTAATTTGAGATGCCCTGGAGAATCCAAGATATCCATGGAGGATCAACAGATAAGACTCATGGAAAACCCGTCTTCTTATAGAGCAAAATGGGGAAATCAGGTGAGAGATCCTAAAGCATTTAATGCCGACATTAGGTGATTATTTCTAGGCAACTGAACTGAATGACTGGTCCTTGTGGACTGTACAAGGAGTTCAGATTACAAATGATCCCCCAAATGTAGCTGTATTAGACTGAATCCTTCTTTAGTTCATGGCCTAACAGTGCACACAGCAGTGTTTTCAGCTGCCTAAACTAGAGCAGCAGAGCTATATAAGAGTCTCTGCATCGTCTGTAAAATCTGATCTTATAGGCTGAACACAAGACATCAGGGACATGATAATGAATCAAGAGTGTCTAATGGAGACCAGGCACGAAACACCACAAAACTTAAATAAAGGGATGCCTAAGTTCAGGAACCCCCACCCATCCTCCAATTTTTATTCAAATAAGAGCAGATTTGGTTAGTCTTATTTTTAGTTATTGTCGTGGCTTTAAACCAATAACGAAGAAAATTACTTATTTCTTGCTGTGAGATATGGATTAGAACAAGAGCAAAACAGGCATAAAACTTAAAAGGAAAAAAAAAGAAAGTTTATTGACAAACTACAATAATAAGAACACCAGAATAAACTTCCAGAAAAACCTTTTCATCCCCTATCTATCCACTATTCCCTTGTTCACATGACAACAGAGACAAAAACCTTGGAATTTTGGTGGTTAAAACAGTCCCAATTATTGCTACAGTCCTTTCACCAGTCTTTGTAGAGAAACAGAAGTTTCTTCCTGTTAATTTATGGAGTTTCTAACAAGAAAACTATTTTTGTTATAGTTTTCCATTGCCCTAATGTTAGCTGCCCAGAGCTGCTATTATTAGAGCCCACTCCTCCCATTTTCACATCACTCTGAAGTGTGTATGGGCCATGAGTCTAGGGATGGCATTTTAAGGATGTTATTCAAAGGCAAAAAAGTCTTCTTCATCTGTTTCTCTGAGCTTCACCAGAAAACAGTTTTCTCATTGCCTCTCAAGGCTTCAAATCTCCCAGCAGTTCACTATACCATAATTACTCTACTTTTTACTCAAATTTACACTTTGAACACTTTATTCCTCTCTACATCCTGTATCATGAATTAAAGGAGTTCTTTTCAGGACTTCATTGTCCATCTCCATAGTTTTAACAGAAAGATATTTCAGCTTAATTAAAGCATCTTCTTAATTCTCTACCTTTCCTGAAGCTTCTTTTCTTTCCTGTCACTGGTAGTTTATAAAGTCTCTTTTCATGTTGATCACTCTCTTTTTCTCTCTCTGGATAAAAAGATTAATCCGCAAGTCTCATCTGGGTAATGAAAGAGTTCAAATCTTGCCCAGGCTTTTGTAGATGGTTCGGAGATCTCTGCCGAACAGGAGCTGGAGCCGTCTGCGATGGAAAGTTCCTCATGGCTGCTCTGGAGAGTGTGGTCGCTGTCTCTGCTTGCTGCAGGTCCAGAGCCTCTCTCCTTCTTCACTCGGCAGTTTCTAGTGAATGTAGTTACAGCAAAACCTGCAGCTGAGCCAGAGATCGGCTCGGCTCGGCCCGGGCCTGGGGAAAACCTTCCCCAGGCCCCCCCATCTCCCGGCCGGGAGACGCAGCAGGCCCAGCCCCATCCCCACCCGGCCACATGGCCTGGGCAGGGACGGGAGGCCTGGAGCTCCGCCACCCTTCACAGCCAGGAAACAAAGAGAGAACCAAGAGAGCTCTGCTTTTACACTTTAAGGTAGGGTTCACAAGTTGATCCCACTGTTCAATGGCCTAAACTGCTGTCAATTCTCAGCAATGACCGATAATTGGTCAGGAGAAGACTCCAGGCAGTTCCCAGCAACTCTGACTCCCTTAAAGGTAAAGTAACTCCATGACAGGAATGAAGGCTGCCTTTGTAATATTATCAGAAGAAGCAATATAAACTTCATTCTTTGTTTGCTTGAGAATAAACAACTTTAAGAATAGTTAAGTATGTGGTGCCAAGCTTACTAATATGAGTAACTTCCACAATTTGTTATTTCTGTGATGTACAAAGCACCTGAAAAATACTTCCTGTTTTTTGCCAGCATTTTCTCTGTCTCTCTCTCTCTCTCTCTCTACCCCACTACAAGCCACACATGGAGAAAAGCATAACTGGTTCTTTTCCATAAGTGTCCTTTTTTTTTTCACCAGTGCATAAAGAAATGCATCCTGTGAGTGACCTGTCTTGGCAAATATCCATAGTCAACAATGTCCCATAAAAATTATTTGTGAAAATGCCCATTTGTATTCATACCAGAAGAATGATAGTTTGAGCAATTCTGCTGTCCATAACTTTGGCTTTATCTTTATCTTTGGAGAGATGTGGTCCCTGAAGTAGGCTTTAAAATACTAAGGACTTCATAGCTTCAAGTCAAACTAAATACAGTTTGTTTTGCTGCCATCAGTGTAACTTTCATGTATCACCATTCTGCAGTGCTTTCATTTTTCAAGTGGTCTAAGATACAATCATTACACTAGATTAATCCTTAAGAGATAAATATGTGCCTGATAATACAACAGGGGTGAAAATCAGACATCAGACTGTGCTGATAAAGATCAAAACCAAAACATTTTACTCAAAGTTCCTTCTGTAGCAGTCAGAAAGTAGAAAACAAATAAATGATCCCCTCATTCTGAATCAAACTTCAATTTTGGCAAAAGGAAGAAGTAAATAAACCTTTCTTCTAGTTCTTTCTACAAACTACTAACCCCTCTGACCCAGACAAACACTCACAAATAAACTGGATCTCTTCACTAAAACTGCTCTAGTGGAGCCTGGCACTATCAGCTGCACTTGACCTAACAGCATCTGGCCTTCAATAGGAACAAAAAGACTGAGAGAACAATGAATATCTCTAATACGTACTTTATATTTCTCTGACCTCGTGAAGTCTTTGCTTATCCCCCTTTCTTTCCTACTGCAAAAATTAAAACTCTACATGATCAAGATGTCATTAATTTGTAGCAATAATTATATACTAGAATCCTGGGTCTCTCTTCCTGCTACCATATAAAGAACCATTTCTGAAGAAAGATGACATGTTTGCAAACTGTTCCACTTTATGGAATCAACCTCTGAGCACAATGGAAAACAAATTAGAGATTTCAATTGTTGGGGATAAGGTGTCCTTTCTTTTGATCCTTCTCACAAATAAAATTCTCCCCATTATATGCAGGGAAATCTGACTGCTAGTACTTACCAGGCCCCTGTAAAAACAAAGACTGTGGCTGGGCCCTGGGGGAAGGAGGGAAGGTAAAAGTGAGGATGGGGCAACTGTGGATTAGCTGTATTCTTTGGCTTCAATACAAGACAAAATCGAGCTGCTATTTCATGGAGAAAGGAATTCACCATAACTGAAAGAGAACTTATTTTATTACAATAATTCTAATTATCTAGTTCTTCTTCTTCTCCTTCTTCTTCCTCCACCAAGTTGCTGCTGCACCTCTCCTTGACGCCACTGTTGTCGGGATTGCGTCTGATTTTCCCGAGTCCAAACCACAGTGCCACGAGAAGGACCACGATTCCAGTTAGAGCCCAGAACTGCCAGACCAGCAGGGCTCCCCAGGCACCACCACTCTGCTCCAGGTTCTTCTGCTCCAGCTCCTCAAGCAGCTGAACCATCTGCTGGTTCAGATACTCAGCACGCTGCTGCATGCGCTCCCGTGAGGCCTCATCCAGCCCGTCCCCAGCCTGCTGCGGGTACTGGATGAGGCCTTGCGCAAGCCAGAGGAGAAATGCCGTGGCCAGCATGGCCTCAGGTGCTTTGCAGGACTCGAGTGGGAATGGGAAGGGGGTACTGATAAGGGAAATGGGGACAGGAGCCCCCGGGGATCTGAAAGCAGGCAAGAAAGGGGCCAGACAGCTGGCAGGCTGCAAGGCCTGTGCCGCTGGCCCGGCAGCGGCACCGCGCCCTGGCAAAGGCCGGGACGCTGGCAAGCTTTTCAATCTGAAATTGGGTGGCATGGCCCGTGAAGGCTTTGCGCACAGAAATCTCCTACTCTGAGACGGAATCGCTTGCTTTGGTGCTGACATGTGTGCTTGTGGGGGTGCTCTTGGCACCTAAGTGACTGTCCTGGGGGTTGCAGTGGTGAATCTGCTGCTGCTGACATGGGGCTTCTCCATGGCAGGATCTCAGTTCCTGCTGTGCCACTGCGAGAGGACCTTGATTGCCCGGTTTCCCAGGGATGATGAGCAGCTGACGGGGGGTGATTTCCAGTGGGCAGCTCCCACTGTCAACAGTGCACAGTGCTCCTTCCGCATGCCCAACAAGTTGGTTTCTGTGGCGCCAACGCCCTGCAGAGTGTCTGGGATCAGGCAGGATCCTCATTGAACTGTGTTCCCCAGCGAACACAGAAGGATGCACAGAGCAGTGGTGCCTCTTGCTTTGTCCCTGCCCAGCCGGAGCTGCCAGGGACAGTTTCAGAGCCCCTGTGAAATGGCCAGCATGTGCAAGGGGAACACAGGGCAAACCTCATCTTTGGAGCCACCAGGGTCTTCAGTGGCTTCTGCACCTGGGAGAGCATTGAGAGGAGCAATGTGGAGAGAGAATGGCGTGCCTTTGTTCCAAAGGCTTGCTAATAACAGGGCCTACTCCCAGCCAGTCACAAATTCACCACTGGTGGAATTTGCCAGTATTCTAGGTCTGTTGGATTTCAAGAAGAGCTTGCACAGTCCATTTAAGGAATAAATGCGTTTATTGAAACAATAACAAAGAAGGGTCTGGAACGCTGAATTCACTAACTAGAGGGCATTACTATCTACAGGAAAAGCGCCACCTAAAGTGTCGCAATCTGTCTGGTACTTTCACTAACTAGAGGGTCCTAACGCATATGGGAAAAGCACTAATTACGGGGCTGTAATACGTATAGTAAATGCACTAACTATGGGGGGTTAACACGTACTGTAAAAATGCACTAGCTACGGGAGGTTAATATCTACAGGGTCTGCCAAGGGGCCCCACAAGCACAGCTCCGTGCAGGAAGATCCCTTTCAATGGCCGCAGATCAGCACTTGTTTGAGCCGATGCAGCAGGCGGATGTACTCCTGCACGACCTTCGTGTGGGCATCCGGGCTGCTCGCCAGGGGCTGAAAGAGGTTGGGTGGTTGAGCCAGCCGCAAGCCGGAGGGCAATTTGATCTCCTTGGGAAACTTCTCATTGCCCACGACAAAGTGGTGAAGTTGCTTTGTCTCCAGCGAGCACCGCAGGTACTTCAGGATATCCATCAGTCGCTGACGGAAGTCCCTCTGCCCCAGCGTGTCGGGGGTACGGTGCTCAGGAGGTGCATCACCACAGTCTTCAAGGCGTAGCTGGAAAAACCTCCGCCCATCGGGAAGCAGCTGAGGAGCTGCAGGCACTTGCAGTGCCAGCTGTCCTGGGGAGCCTGCCCGGAAACGTGCCTGAAGAATTTTGCCTCTGCCACGGCGTAAGTCTCGCGCCACGTTGTGCTTGGCGTGCCTACTTCTGCAGGCTGGCTGCCCACAAAGATATCTGTGTCTCCTTGCTGCACCCCAAAGATCACCTCCACCGTGAAGCTTTCTGTGTCTTTGCTGAGCTGAAATTTACAGGAGCGGCTGCAGGGCTGCAACATTAAATGCCAGTGGCAGGACGCAGGCAAAAGCAGCCGGGCTGCTCTCACAAATCGGTAGAACCACTGGACAGTTTTCTCCACGTCTAGGTAGGAGCCAGTGCACAGGGTCTGCAGGAGGCTGGGGTCCTGCTTCCTTCTCAGCTCCTCCTCGGAGTGGTGGAGGAAGCACAGCATGTCCTCCCGCAGCTGCTCCCCTCTGCAGGTGCACAGCAGCTCCACACGGACACGCGAGTTCCTCTGGAGCATCCCTGCGGCGTCCAGCTCCAGGTGGAAGGCGTGTCCTGGAGGGGGACTCAGGGGTACAAGCACACGGTACACAACATCTTGTGCATGGGGACTCCAGCCTTCAAAGGCACTGCCCACTCCGATGGCTTGTTGTGGCACCGGGTAGAAATAGTTGGAAAAGTCTTGTCCAAAGATGTCTCTCAGCTTGTCCATCAGCTCCACTACCAGCGAGCAGCCTTTGTCCAGGTCCACTACATGCAACTCTATGCACTCCTCTAAAGGCCTTGCGAGGTTCCCCTTGATACTGTGGCCGTCGTCTTCTCTCTTTGCATCCCGTTTGTCTTCTTCCAGTCCGGCAGCATTGGCTTCCTCGCCCTCCTTTAAACCACGGTTTATTTCTTCCTTTGCACCATCGTTGCCTTTTTGTGCTTCATTTCCAGCACCGCTTTCTGTCTTTGCATCAACGTTGTTGTCATCTTCATTTCCATCCTTATTGTCTTCTTCCACTTTTGCATCGTTGCTTTCGATTTCTTCCTTTGCAACAGTGCTGTGTCCTCCTCCTTCTTCTTCTTCTTCTTCTTCTTCTTCTTCTTCTTCTTCTTCTTCTTCTTCTTCTTCTTCTTCTTCTTCTTCTGCTTCTGCTTCTGCTTCTGCTTCTGCTTCTTTATCTTCTTCTTCTTCTGCTTCTTCTTCTGCTTCTTGTTCTGCTCCTTCTTCTGCTTCTTCTTCATTTCCAGCAGCATGGGTTTCCTCAAAATTCTCACCATGGTTTACTTCTTCTTTTGCAACTTCATTGGCTTCCTTTGCTTCATTTCCGGTGCTGCTTTCTGCCTTTGCATCGATGTTGCTGCCTTCTTCATTTCCATCCTAATTGTCTTTTTCCACATTTGTATTGCTGATTTTGATTTCTTTCTCTGCAAGAATATTGTGTTGTTGGTTTTTTTTGTTTTTGTTTTTGTTATTGTTGTTGTTCTTCTTTTCCTTCGTCATCTTCTTCTTCCCTCCATTTCCTGCTGTTATACCCTTCATTTTCAGCCAGCATCTGAAAACTTCTGATACAGCTCATTTACTGGCCCAGGATATCTGCTCAGTCTTGCTGTTTCTGCTGGCTCTTCCTCTGTGCCCTGCAGGTGCACTGGGATGACTACCTGAGGGGGTTTGTTAAACAATGCCTCTTCTTTATCCTTTTCCATCTCAGCCAGGAATTCTCTTACAGATTCCCTTCTTCTGTTTTGTTATTAATCCCGTGGTTATTGCTGTTTGTTTGCCTTATACATTTTAGTCAAGGACTGGTATTTCCATTCCCATATATTTGCTTTCGAGTTCCTTAATTTCAAAATTATAATGACTTAGATGGAGGGGATTTACATTTTCCATTCTAAGGGAGGCTCCTGTCTTCCCTAGCAGTCACCTCTCTTTCATACCAATACATCAGTGCAGGTGCCTGGTTTTTTCGCAAGGCAGAGACCAGAGAGAATACAATATATATACGGTTCTATAAACACATTTGTCATTTGAGGTATTATAATGTTAACAGTATTCATCACTAGATTCCTCAGTCCATCTTCACTCTCAAACAATTCTTGAGCAGATATGTTTTCAGAGTATAACTTGAGCAAGACTTAAAGGGGGAGATGATGAAAGCCAGAGGGCTTTTTCATGTGTTTAGGGGTATTATTCCATCACAGTTCATAAGCTGTGCATAACCAGGACCTCTGAGTTACCATAGCATGCATTAAGAGTGTGGCTATAAATGAAGATAAGAATCTATTACAGGAAAAATTGTCAGTGTAGAGAGTAATTCATACAGCAGAGATGTAGGAAGGGACCCTGCTGGGGGAAGAGACTTGATGACCAGGGAAGTAGGAACAACTGATTACTTAACAAATAAGTATATTTGTAAAAATGTGTAAATCAATCCGTGGTGATGTTGCAGGAAATTCAAGGAATGTTTTGAATAAAACAGTCTCTTTCTGTTTGGCTTGAGAGTTTTCTTGTTAGAGCCAGGTCAGTGAATACGCTTTATCTTGGGAATCCATTAAGTGAAAGAGTAGAGGGCTTTCTGCCTCCCCAAGAAAGCCTGAACTATTTATACTTGACAAGAGGGAGTAAGAAAATCTTATGGAACAAGGAATTTTTCAGGGATTTAAATGACTCTGTACATGATTCTATGATTTACAGTTCTGCCACTGATCTATTGCATGACCTTAGGCAAGTCACTTCACCTTTATGCCTCAGTTAACCTGTTATACTGACATAATAACACTGAGCCTTACTGGCCTCAGGATGATGAAATATTTCTTTCCTAGAGCTAAATCCCCTCTGTGGTGTGAAAAAAACCCTCACCAGTGATTAATCCAATCTATTGTTCAAACTGAGCAAATGTACTTGCATGTTTGGAAAAAAATAATTTCAAACTTTAACAATCTGATTTTTTATTTGAAATCTGAAATAAAAATGAATGTGGAAAAGTTTGATTAAAAAGAATTGTGAGGGTTTCCTAATGTGAGTCAAGGAGTGGATGTTTGGGGATCTCAGTGGTAGGGAATGTGCATATAGCAATTTGGAGTCCCTTTTCATTCCCTGCAGCATGCCTGTGGCTGTAGGAGCCAGAATCTAGCCCTAAATTAATAATTAGCACTTTCAGTTTAAGCTCTCCAGGAAATGTCATGAGGACAGACAGTAGAAGCAGTAGAAAATGTTAGTGGGCAGTGTAGAAAGGTAAGTGCCAAGAGATTTATACCCTGCATTCTTGACATGCCAGAACAGAATATCAGGATTTAAATAACCCACTGGCAAGACCTTTCACATCAATTTGACTGTGGTGGGAGGATAAACTCTACAGGGATGGCCTGTGTGCATCTTCACAGGTAATAAGAAAGAGATACCTGCATCAGCATGCATGTGAGTACAGAATGGGCTGAACCCCTTGTATTTGCAAGTGGCTAAAATCACATACATCAGGTTTTACTTTCCCTTAGTTGTGTATGCATTTTGAATTTAGCCAAAGAATGCAGAACCCCAAAAATTTCTGATCAACATTAAAAATATAAATTAAATTCAGCAGTAGAAATATCACAAATTTTCTTTTAAGGCTGCTTGTAAAAATCTCATTTTTCACTACAGTTTGGCAACACATTTTTCTTTTAAGATAATACCACCAATGTTCACTATTATACACTATGAACACATATTTGATGAAGGCCCAAACAATTTTATATACATAATTAGCCCCAAGAATGACATTTTTATTGCAATTACATATAACTAGCCACTTCCTCCTACAGGCATATAATTAAATTAGATTTTAGAACACCAACCACAAATGAAAAAAAAAATTGTTTTGAATAACATATTTTTCAAGTATCCTGCAAGTTATCCTAAAAAAGTAGGCACTCATTTTTGCAGAGTTGCTATTTCACTCCTAAGTGTTGTAACATGCCACTGAGTCACCTTTAGAATATTTTATTTATTATTAACACATCTATTAAACTAAAAATACACCTTTTATAATTTATGTGTGAATAACACTATTAAAATGAAACACCTGGCTTACTCCTTGATTTCACAAGTTCTATAAAGTAAGGGAAGATTTTTGAGATGAGTTTGTGATCTAGGTATTTTGCACATTTCATAAGAATAGGCAGTAGTTGACATAGAAATTATAATGCTGTGCATGAAAAGCTGGAGTAAAACAAAAAAGGCATTCTGCCTATGCCTGGAAAAGGTTTAAATCTGACAGACCAGAATTTCATACAATTGCGTGTGTGTGTGTGTATGTATCTGTCAGTGTACATGTAATTAAATATATGCAATGTATGCACATGTAAAAATGTATGTATACTGTGTACATGGTAGGTATACATATTTTTCATATATATATATATACACACATATATTCATACATATAAAAGAAAATAACTGTAGATGATATCACATTTTCAAGCACAATGTTTGGCTCAGATAAAATACACCCTTGGGTTCTACAGGGACAAAATTGTGTCTCTTTATAAAACCTGCTTATTTCATGTATCTAAGAGCCCATCACAAGGGGTTGTAGTCATATTAGAGGAACTCCTCTGTAGACGACCAGAAATTTAGGTGGGGTTTAGTTGTTCACACACTCTTCTGGGTTAGCAGAGGTTTGAAGCCAGGTCTCTAGGTCTAGGGATATGTTACCAACCTTCGCAGCACTTCTACTGCAATACAGGTGTGATCTCAGTTTGGGATGCAAGTCCTGACAAGGTTTAGCCCTGAGCTGACTACCAAGCCATCCTGGCCAAGCCAAGTAACAGAGCTGGCCTCTTGGCTGCAGAGTGCACCCACTTCTGGACTTTGGGATTACCCAAATTTCTGTGCACATACATGCAGCATGTGCGTGTAAATGAGTAAATGATCTATGCAACTCTGGGTGCCAGTGTCTTGGGTACAGTGCTGTGGAATATTGTCATCCCTCAGGTCAGGCCTGCCTAGTCAGGATACCTGCCAAAGATGCACTGAAGACTACATGGGGTTTGAATCCTTCTGAAACATGAAGAAGGGATTAAAGCATTCTCAAGATATCAGGATTTACTTCTGTTGTGGCCCCGAGTAGCATCTTTAGTGACTTGCTGGCAGCAACAGAGGCTTAAGGGTTAGACAGCAGCTGAGCTGCAATTTTGAGAATCTGAGGGATGCCAGAATAAGAATTTCACTATTGGTCCTCAATTAGGCACTGAAAATTTGAAACTGCTCCTCAGAAAAAAAATCTGGCTTTAATTGTAGCTGATGAGCAGTTTCAAAAATCAGTACAAACATAATGTAAATGTAAGCAAGTACTGAGTTCCCTCGTTGAGTTCTCAGATCTATTGCAAACAACTTGAGCTTTCGTAAAAATACACAATTTTTATTTATCCTATATTTTGTCTCACATTAGGTCACTTGCCAAAAAGCCTCTTGCTAACAGTCAGTTTAATATGAAGAAGGATACAGTCTTATTAGTTTAGTTTATTTATGACAAAAGGAAAAGCATGAAAACCCCAAGCTGTAAGTGGTAATTTATTCCTGATAAGTAGTAAATCAGCAGGATTTCACTGCCCACATAGGGACCTGCAGTTAAATAATTAATGATAAATAATGAGCCTCATAAATGTTCACAGTGTTTTTGAGCAACTATTTACACATGAGCTCATCCTACAAACTCTCCTGCTGCTATAATCATGATAACCTGGTGTCCTTTCTGCATTACAGAAACATAAGATGATAACACTGACCATCTCTGTGGTTCAGTTTATATTGTTCATTGCCAGGTTACACTAATTATTCACTGCCTCCAAGGCAGTGATGGGTTAATACATCAAACTGATGTATCTTTTGTCATGATAAACTTAGTTCACACTCTATCATCATACATTCCACTGATGAGGCCTTTGTCTAAAAAAAATAGTGCAGAATTATTAAAAGAAATCAGGAAAAAGATGGTAAATGTTTATGTTCTGGGTCACAAACTGATAAAAAATAAGGTATTAAAATAATAACAGAAATTTCAAAAGTACAGTAAACAAATAATTTACAAAGTATCAAAGGGTCTGGGCTCCTGTAGATTTGTGTACATCCTTTTTCACCATCACTTTCCAACACTGGGCATTAGAAGAGACAGTCAGCTCTAACATGGTAGTTTTCACATGCCTCAACCTGGGAAACCCTCAAGTTCTTGAGAAAATAAATTGCCTGAGAATACCCTCAGTCCTCATTGACTCATGTGCTGATAAAGCAGTGTCCTGGGTCCCTAAACCAGGGCAAGCAGCCAGGATAATGACAATGCACTTTTTTTTTTTTTTTTTATTTCCCTGGTTGTAATCTTTCCTCTTTTGCATTATGTAGCTACTACATCATGAGTTTATTGGGAAGCAAAATCAGGAACTTCAATAGTTCAAATCTATTGTGCTGTTCACATTTTGATTTGCTTCTGAAGCATCCAGCATGACTCCACAATGATCTGACCTACAGGGGCAGATGGTAGTCATCACAATTGTCCCTGCTTTTGGTCTTCAGTCATCACAATTGTCCCTGCTTTTGGTCTTCCATCATCCCCAACACATGGTCCTTCTCTGTGTACAAAGTATTGAATTTAGCACTGAGTTGAAGTTCAGAGACATATGAAAACCTAGATTTTGAAGTAGCCCCAGTCATTAAAAATCAGGATGTTGGGAAG